AAAAATCACTTACTCTAGAGTCTCTATTGTACAGTCTGGATGTTTGAGTCCTCTACACAGCATCTCCATTGGTTTGTCATCTGGGTTCCTGAGGGACAAGTTCAATATTGTCAATCTCTGTTTTTTACTGAGTACTTCTGCAAGATGCCTGCTACTGGATTCATTGATGGTCTTTCCTGCAAGCCTGCAGAACAGAATATAGAAAATTACAGTTATCTTTTTAAAAAAAGAAGCCTTGAATGTATTTTTATGATTATTGAATGAAATGTGATTATCTGTGGTATCTGAACTGGCTCTCTACAATTATCTTCTCAATTGTCTAAATGAAGTATCTTCTGAACTGTGTAAAGTTGGTGCTGGGAACTGAGTGTGTAACTAGCCTAGGGAATAAATGCTTACTGGAACTTGCTGAGTCTTCCTAGGTATATGCTGTGCAGTTCTGGGCATGCTTGCCACCTTACAAGCATAAACCACCAAATAACAAAAAGATTGTTGTAAATTTCAAATAAATACTAAAAACTTGCCATAGAATTTTAAAAAATTTAAGTATCTTGAGAATTTACAAAGAATGACCAAATATAGAATATGTAAAGTCTATCTCTAAACTTTTATCACTTTCATTGATATTTGAAAAATTGCTTAATGATCATTTATAGACTTCTGAGCTCCACTACTAAAAATCCCCACTCTCCATCTCATATCTCCCAGCAAACTATTTTCATGGTCTTTCGATTATGATGACAGATCAAATTGTATCTTGGAAAACAGTTCTCTGAAGAGAATATGGTTAAATTTCACAACTGTAACTGTCTTTTCATGGATACTTTCCAGAACTCAAGAGAAAGCATCACACATCAAACTGAGAAAGAAATATGGAACATTCACCCTAGTGTGCCTACTTTACAGTCTGCATGTTGAAGCCCCTCACACAGCAATTTGGCTGCTCTGTCATCCGTGTCTTCAAGGGACAACTGTAATACTTCCAATCTCTGGTTTTTCTTGAAGACTTCAGCAAGATGCCTGCTGCAGGACTCTGTGATGGACCATCCATTCAAACTGAAAGAACAGCAATCACTCAGAAGAATTANATTCTGGGAGTTGAAGTCCGGACCTCTTCAAGTTGCCAAGCTTGAGAAACACTGCTATTGCTATGCCTTGCAGCCAAACCAGCAGAAAGGGGGTGCTGGTTCAAGGCTGGAGGGGGGGGGCATTGCTTTTGGAGGCGGGCCCTTTTTTTGGAAGAGAAAATGGGGGATTCTGGGAGTTGAAGTCCATAGGACTTCAAGTCACCAAGGTTGAGAAACACTATGGGGATTCCCAGGCCTTGAGCTGAAAGGACATTGGAGGGCATTGGAGGCAGCTAAGGAAGGGGCAATCAAATAAATAAATTCGAGGGCCTTCTAGAAACCACGCCTGAGGAGAAAAAAGGCAAAGAAGATTCCACTAAGCCAACCCACCACACACACACACAAAAACACACAGACAACCCTCCCGCCCAGCCACAAAACACACACACAAAAACACACACACAACCCTCCCGCGCAGCCACACAAACACACAACGCTGTCGTTGGTGTGTTGTTTCAACCCCTACGCGGAAGGCTCGGGGTCTTTCCAACCCAAACTCCCTCAGAAGTCCACCGGGCAGGACCTCTCCCCTCAGGGCCGCCCCCTTAAGGCTCGGCCGGCCGCCTGAGGCGAATTCCAAGCGGGGCGGCTCTCCCCGCGTTCGCCTCCTCTTGGGAGACCAGTTGAAGAAAGACCCCCCCAAAAAGAAAAAGAGCGAGGAAAGCCAGTTTTCTCCCCCTTTCGCCCCGCTGCTCCCGGCTTCCCCTGGGGGCTGGTTCGAAGGCTGCCTGGCTGGCACCGGTGGGCGCGCTTGCCGCTGCCGCCGCCGCCTCAGCCTCCCTTCCCCTCTGTGTGGGAAGAGATGGTTGAGTCCAGCAGAAGCAGAACCAGCGGCGGCGGCAGCGACAGCCGGAGCATCTCCTTCTAGCAGCCCCGTCAGCTGGCCGCGCTCGCCCGCTTGGACTTTCGGCTCCGGGTCTCCTCCTGACAGGAGAGAGAGGGGGGAGAGCCTTTCCCTTCACGCCCGCGCCCTTTTCCCTTCTTCCTCCTCCTCCTCTTCCTCAGCGGCTTCCCCAGCCGCCTTCGCCCTTCCTCCTCCTCCTCCTCCTCTTCTTCTTCCTCAGCGGCTTCCCCAACAGCCTCCGCCGCCTTCGCCCTTCTTCTTCTTCCTCCTCCTCCTCTTCTTCCCCAGCGGCTTCCCCAACAGCCTCCCTTCTCGTCGCCCTCCCGCGTTCGGCGTCTCTCCGTCGACAGTCGCCGCGAGGTTGTTTTTCCTCGCCTGGGAAGGAAGAGAGACCGAGAGAGACCGAGAGTCGGCGGAGCGGAGGATCCCTTCCCCAGCGCGCCCGTCCCCCCGCAGTGGGCTCGCCGGCACTTGATGCTATGAGAAGGAGCCGAGCGGAGGCAGGCAGGCAGTCTTGCGGGAGGAGGCGTCGAAGGCTCTGCTGTTGCCGCCGCCGCGGCGGCTGCTGCCACTCGCGGCACCGGCATCGCCTGGGGACTCTGCTTTGGCCCCGGCGGCTTTAAGTCCATTCGGGCCCGGACCGGGAAGCCGCGCTCGCCACTGAGGGGCGTCCCCGGAGGTCTCTCTCTCTTCCCTCCAGCGCTCCCCACCAAGCAGCCCCCTTCCCCGGCTGCTTCTGCTTCTCCTCCGCCGAGCTGGTTCGCCCCTCTCTCCTCCTCTCGATGCGTGTGGAATAACTGCGGCGATGACTGCGTGGAAGCGGTTCGAGGCTTTGCTGGTGGTGCTCGGCGCGGGCTTCCTCACTGCAGCTCAGGGTAAGCGCCGCCGGCTTCTTTTCCTTCCTTCCAGCGAAGCGGAGCTGCCTCCTTCGGAGGAGGATGGGGGGATGGATGGGGCACGAACCGGGGGGAGCTTTTTTGGGGGGGGGTGGTGGGTCTTCCCCGGGCCGGTTTGGCTTTGCTTGCTTGGTCGGGATTGCCGCCCCTGGCATCGTTCCTCGGGGGGAGCCTGGTTGAAGGCGGCGTTGGTGGAGCGTGACGGGCCCCCTTTGCCCTCTTCGCCCCACTCGTTCCAAACGGGCACCTGCTCTTCCACCACCACCCCTCCCCGCCTAGGGCTCTCCCGTGTGTTTTTTGGGGGGAACGGTCTTTTGTGCCTTGTGTCCGGGACTATCCCGGGATGGATGGAGGTTCACTTTGCATGGAACGGTGGCATTGGAATTAGTTTATTTGTATGCCGCCCTTCTCCCTGAGGGGACTCAGGGATGGGTGGGTGGAAATGCTAAAGGTGGGCTACCAAGGCTTCCCCCCCCCCCTATCTCCCCGCACCCTTTTTAAAAACAGCAGGCGTCCCCTTCCCAGGGGGGCATGGAGCTCTTTTGCCCCCCTCCCTCCCTCCCCCCCCAACATGCCACCTTCTTCTTCTCCCTCTGCCCACCAGGGCTGTGAGGTTGAGCCTTCCCCGGTGGGCAGCTGGGCTAAGCACTTTGAACCTTTGGCAAGTTGCAGAAAGCCAGCGGGGAAGGAGAGCCGGGGGGGGGGGGCGCTTGAGTCATCCTCCTTGGGGGCTCCCTCTCCTTTCTCCAAGGGGGCTTCTACAAAAAAAAAAAAAAAAACCTCTCCTTGTTGCTCAGCCTCAAAAAAAAAAAATGGGCAAAGCCTCTCTCTGTGGTGTGTCTGTGTGTGTGTGTGTGTGTGTGTGTGTGTGTGTGTGTGTGTG